TGCCATAGCTTTAGAGCACCATGGCTGAAGTGCAATAGGAGTAAAAACTCCTTTGTGAAATAATCCTGCTTAATTTCCACATTTAACTTTAACTTGTTGCTGTTGTATTATGTGGTTCAGTATATTGTAGGTAGGGAAAACATTTTTGTACTTTTGTAAATTTGTTTTTGTCTGTACTTGTTATGTTGTGTAGTTATTTATATCATGGCCCTGACTGCAAGTCAAAGTTCCTATCTGGGATAATAAAGTGATTGAACTGAGCTGATATAGGCTAGGAGCTTACGATTTTGCTTAATGTCTCACTTCCAGTGTTCAGGCGAACTTTACTCTTACTTAAGTATGCATTACACTATGCCAAATCATAATTACAATTTTAGTACAATTTAATGTCTATCCAAACCTTTCATTGACATTCTTATAGACACTTGGCAGGGACACAGAGGAAGTGGAGGTGCTGCAAAGTACCCCAAAGAACTGCCTGCTGCCCTGAGCTGTAGACAGAGTGCGTAAACACACTGCATTATTACAAAATTCCTGCTTTATCTGTATATTATATATATTTCGTTAGTGTGATCCATTTATACCTTTTTCATTTATCAGAGAAATGTGTCTATATAATTTTTTAATAAGGCACAAGGAAATTACTGTTTTTTTATGTATTTATTTATTTTAGTATAACAAAACATCATATTTTATTCATTAACTCCTCATATGTTCTGTTTACACAAATCTTTGTAGACTGCACCTTCGTCAGTCAGCTGCTGCTTTCTCCTCAGTTTGCTGTGTAGCTGCTATAAAGTCAGTGTGGCTCTGATCCCGTCACAACCTGCATTGAACTTGAACTTTGTTATCAGAACAAGCTAAATTGATCTTTGGATCAGCATTTTGCAGAATTATGTTTGAGCTTATCCTCTTTATTGCCATTGTCTTTCCCTGCTAAGTTTTCCCTTTCATGTGTGGTCTTTTAATCAAACAGTTCCATGATTGACAGGAATGATTTACAGCCTTGATAGTCCTATTTTATTTTATAATAGGATACAGCTTAGATATCCAGTCGTCCTGTATTTCCATGGTTCCTTTTATCAACTGCAAACAGCAAACCCTGTTCACCCCTCCCATCAGCATTTACAAGAAATGCCTACAGTTCTTTTAAATTGCCAAATATACAGTGCATATATAGTGTAGCCAGTCCTTTGAATTGGAGTTGTTAGTCTCTATACACAAAATAATGTTAAATGTTTGCAGAAGACCTTCATTTGTAGAACTGAGAAAAGAGACTTTAAATTTGTGATCCAGACAAATGAATTGTAGGCAGAATACTGGAAATGTGTAAATTGTATTTTAAATGTTATTATGCCTTATGTCTTAAGTTATATATCAACATAAAATTCTTGAGCTAAACTTGACCTTTGACCCTCATTCGGAAGTCAAGGTACTCTACCTTTGCATTGTCTGCATAATAATAAGGGGTCATGCTAAGACAAAAGGCATTAACTTCTATTTCCATATAATACACCATACCATATAATATAATATAATATGAATGAAAATTAATTATTGTGTATTTGTACATGTAATTAAAGGAGCTATGAGGGAGGATCCACAGGGAGCAGTCTTTTACCGACCGATGTGCCCCTTTATTGGACACCAGTTGTTTGATTGCATGCTCATAGGACTCAGTGCCTGTTACTTTCTTACTATTTTGTTCACGTCGCCTAAATACTTTTTTGGCGTTTTTGAGCACTTTTTATTTGCACGGGTCTCCATGGCGACGGGGAGTCGCATTCTTTACATCCGCGACCAGATGATCGCCCTGAGGTACCCGAGCATCCTGACCGGAGAGAGACCCTCCATACCGGAGGAGCTGAGGACGAGACGGCGAGGCTGCAGAGCGGGGGTTAAACGGAGGATGAAGAAGAGGAGCTTTAAACCCTACAATTGGGCTACACGAGCAGATACCGGACTCCAACGTCACCATGCCCGGCTTCCAGACGGTTCAAGCCGACAGGGACAGCACCGCGACCGGTATGAAGAAAGGAGGGGGACTGTCCGTGCTCATAAACAACAGGCCGTGTAACGCCGGGCACGTCTGTGTGAAAGAGCGTCTGCAGCCCGGACATCGAGCTCATCGCCGTCGGACTTCGTCCATGTTATCTGCCACGGGAACTTTCCAGTGTTGTCGCCATCACTATATTCCTCACAGTGGTCTTCATCATCACCATCACTGTTTACATTTATGATGTCTTATTTATTCTCCTGTACAGCACTTTGGTCAACTTTGGTTGTTTTTAAAGTGCTTAACAAATAAAGTTGGATTGGATATATATAAAATATATATGATCATATTATAGTCAGAGACAGCAAGAAATACTTTTTACATCATTTATTGTCATTTCCATTCAGTCACATGGAGCTGATAATCCCTGAGTTGGGTTTGATATAAATTACATCATTTAAATTTTCCCTGAAACTTTTAGCCTAATTAATATTTCTCAATGTTCAAAAGACACCACAATCATATTCTCTGTTATTCAATTATGAATTTAAAATCACAATAAATAGCTCCAGATGCACATCATGAACAAATGATATAAACACATTCTGCCAGTAGAAATGATTCCTGTGCCTCTTCAGTTGAGCAGTGCAAGCTTTTCTTTATTTATTTTGTGGTGTATCGATGCAGTGTGATGACTGTTTTCTTAATTTATTATAATACTGAGAGAGGATTCCCATACAGTTAGCTAACAACACTTTCTCACTCCCAACTCATCGAGGACTGTTGTGTAGTCAGTGGCCATATATGCAACGTCCGGTTAGAATCACAAAATTAAGTTTGAGTGGTTAACATTGTGAAACTTTGGGGACAACAGTGGACAACAGTGTAACTTACGTTATGTACCTACGTAACTCAGCCAAATTAACACACATACGCTACCTGAAAGAAATTGTTTACTTTTGGTTTCACCAATGACACAAACATGGTTAAAGTCCGGCTTATTACATTACAGAGACACCTACAGCATCATACTCTGAAGCAGCAGTCCACTGACCAAGCTGCATTTGAATACTTGAGAGTGAGACCCGCTTGATGATAACTAAGACATTGAACACAATAAGAAGGTCTTAAAAGGATAGGTCTACACCTTGGAAGACAATTATCAAACATTAAATTATCTAAATTAATATAAAGTAATCATTAAGTAAAGGTTATTGTTACAAATCAGACCGAATGAGAAAACCAAAAACTGGAATGTGAGTGTTAATAAGTCAGAGCAGGTAGTAAATCTGCTGCAGTCTGGTATAGCAAAGTCAAGATCATTTTTTAACTTTTAGAACTAAAGATAGCACTGATGGTAAAACCATAATAATCTGTTTGAGTAATTCACAGCTTTTCTCAGCTCCCTCTCTAGCCTTCCTTTGGTGTTTTTCATCCATATCTCAAATTTGCTCTTTGATTTCTCTGTCACAATCTTCCTTAACCTTATTAATGTCAGCCTTTGCTTCCCTTAATTCTTTCTCAAACTTTTCCTTTATTTTCTTCTCCAGTTCCTCCCGCTCTTTGCGCATTTGCTCTTCTTTCTCTTTCAGGATTCGTTGTTTCTCCTCTTCAATCGCTTTCTCTATGTGGGAGAGAAACAGGATTTGGGGGTAATAAAATAGATGTGCCCCTGGTCAAAAGGTTGAGTTTATGATAGGAAGAGCCAGGGGGAAGTCACAGATCAAAAGACCATTTGGTGAGAGAGACCTGGATTTACATGAGTAACATTTGCAAGACAAACAGGGGGTTTCATTGTTTGTGATGTAATGAGATGCACTGAAATGTATATAAGGGAGAGCATTTTGGAAGTCGAGAGAGAACATCCATGACGTGACCTTCTCTCCATGCAGCATGAAGTAAAGTGACTTGATTATCACACCGGCTTGAAAGTTCTTCAGAGACTTAGCACCTCTCAACTTTGGGAAGAATTTCCACGACATTTTGGCGACGAGGATGGGATGGACGTGTCGCTGATCAACCCCTGGGTCTAGACTGAAGGTAAAACTGCAGTAGGGAGATTTCCGCTCCGACAAACGGAGGACAGGATCCCGCCGGACGTCAGGCCAGGGTTGTGGACAGCGACCGCTCCATCTTTTTTGAACAGTGAGTACGGTGTTTTGAATCAATTCATGTGTGGAAAAAGCCTAGGTAGACAGCATTTTCCTGAGTGGTTGTGTTGGGTCTGTACAAGTCCAGTATCTGAGGGGTACTGGCCCAGTGTCTGAGGGGCACTGGCGTTTCCCTGTAAGATCCTATCGTGGTATTGAGCTGGAACTCATGTAAATGCCAAAGGAGGTGTTGGAACGGAATATAAAAACAAAAAAAAGAAACATAAAAAGGATAACCAGACTTGTGGATAAAAGTAAAATAAGTAGAAGTAAAAAGTATTAAGTATATAACACTGGGTGGATAGTAACCCACATTAAAGTGGCCCTTAAGTGAAGTATTAGAGTGTAATACAATGAGGGCGTATGTGTGAAGGAAAGTAAAAATATAAACTTCGTGGTAATTCAGTCAGTGTCTGGTATACATGCTATACCCAAGGGTGCGTTGCACTGAACGTATGTGTCATACAAACCACCTGGCTGATCTGTATTACTCAAAAGGTTTTTGTGTGATTGATAAGATCCAACTACATTTTGGTGTGGAAAGATCAGAGTGAAAGAGAAAAAGTGTGTGACTGATAAGCCCAGAGAAGTTCAAAGCATAACCGTTCAAGTGAATCTGTGGAAACATGGGGAATAAACAGGGGAAGTTAATGTCTTTGCCTGATCCACTTACAGGTCCTGCTAAATTAATGGCAGAGAAATGGGGTAAAAGCGTGGTGGGGGATGTTCCACTGTGGCACCATGTGACTCAAGATGTGTTTCCCATTGTAGGTACACTCAGTACAGATTGTTTAAGAAGGTGTAGAGTAATGTTAGAAGAAGGAATAAGAGACAAGAAAGTAGGGAAGGAGAAAATTAACTGGCAGGTTTTCCAGAAATGGGAGAGAGAAGCAGAAGTGAAGGAAGCTAAGTCAGAAAGGGGGATAATGGTGAAACAAGAAGTAGAGGAAGAAGGTATAGGCAAGAGTGAAAGGCTAAAAAAGGTACGTAGGGCTAAAGAGAGGGCTCTACCTCCTCCATATGCTGTCTCCACAACATCTGCAAAGCCTGCCTCAACACCATGTTTGCATAAAGGGGAGACCACCCCCGCAGACTCTGATGGTGAAGAGGAAACAGAGCTATTGTATCCTGACATCTCCACCCTATCCTTGGGCCAAACTCCAGAGGACAAAGGCCAGGGTGGCCATAAACTAACTATCTCTGAACCCCCTAAGCAGCCTGGGTGCACCAACCCCAGGACAGCAATGACAACCCCACAACAACAGAACTCCTGGGAGGGGGGAGGAACAGAGGTGTTTGTCTACAGGCCATGGCAGCCAGATGAGCTGAAGGAAGTTGCAGGGGAATTACCTGACCCCCAAAAGGCTGGAGGTGAAAAAATGGATAACAGCAATGCAACAACCCAGGCCATGTGTGGAGGGAGTGTCCTAACGCAGGGCCCCACAGACAAAGGGGACACGAGCCAGAGGAGATGTGGCCCTATGCACCACCGAGAGGACTTGCTGTGCATTCTCCAGGATTCCAGGCAGAGCAACCATAGGAGACAGTGGAGGCAGGTCAGAGAATTGAGCAGCACATAAACATAGTGATAGGGACAAACACACACACAGACACATGCACACACATAGAAACAGATGCAGACCATGACAAACCTGTTGTTAAATATCAGCAATACGTACAGTTAACATTGGATTCTAGAACGCCCCCTAGGTTGACTCTTACTGTGCATAGAGTTAAAGTGACATTCCTTGTAGACTCAGGAGCAGAGGTATCTGTAATCCAAAGTAAAGTAATTCCTGAAGCCCCTAGAACAACAAAACGTCTAAAAACGATAGGTGCATCAGGTATGCCATCATTTGAACCAGTATCTGATCTATTATCGGTCAGTTTTGGGGATTACAGGGGAGAACATCAATTTCTCCTTTCTGATGTATGCCCAGTGAACCTTCTGGGTAGGGATCTAATGTGTGCTTTGAGTATTGATGTACATTGTAATCCAACAGGGATAAAAGCAACATCAGTTATTGCGGGTCTGTATCATGTTAGGACTGTACATACACACATACATAGAGTCAGACTAATGCCTTTGACAGTTGAAGAGGAAGCATTGTTATCAACAGTACCGGAATGTTTGTGGGCTAAGAGTAAATTTGATTTCGGGGATATAAAGGGAGCAACCCCTGTTAGAGTACAGGCTAAATCAACTTTTAGACCATGTAAAAGACAATATCCGCTTAGTCCAGAAGCTGTTGCGGGCATTGCTCCGGTCATTCAGGCGCTAATAGATCAGGGTGCCATTGTGGAATGCCCTAACTCACCATGCAACTCCCCCATCTTACCTGTTAAGAAACCAAATGGGTCCTGGAGACCAGTTCAAGATCTTAGGGGTATAAATGAAGCTGTGCAACATTTGGCACCGACTGTACCCAATGTTACAACATTAATGTCACAAGTGCCATCAGGGGCTTGTTGGTTTACAGTAATTGATTTGGCTAATGCATATTTCAGTATTCCTGTTCATCCTGACTCACAGTTCTGGTTTGCTTTCACCTTCAATGGCAAGAGGTATACGTGGACGAGAATGCCACAGGGTTATGCTTCAAGTCCAACATTGTTTTCTATAACTGTAGCTGAAAACCTGTCACATTGGCAGCCGCCATGTGGAAGTACGCTTGTGCAGTATGTGGATGATTTGCTTGTATGTTCAGCTACAAGGGAGGATTGCCAAAGGGATACAGTGTCATTGTTCTGTTTTCTTGCAGATAATGGTCATAAAGTTTCTAAGGATAAGGTGCAGTTAGTGTCGCAATCAGTGCGTTATCTGGGTCATATAATTACACCAGAGGGTCGCAAATTAGGTCCGGACCGCATTCAAGCTATTTTGGATGTCCCAAAACCAACAACAAAAAAACTAATGATGTCATTTTTAGGTTTAGTAGGCTATTGCCGTCCATGGATTCAAAATTTTGCGGAGATCTCCCAACCCCTGTATGACATCACTCACGGGGGTAAACACCTGGCCATGACTGACTGTGTGACTTGGACTTCTGAGGCAGAAAAAGCCTTCACTGACTTAAAACAGACTTTATCTAGTCCTCCTTGTTTAGGACTCCCAGATGCTACCAAACCATTTAATCTGTTTGTGTCTGAGAGGGATGGATTTATGTCAGCAGTCCTGACTCAACCCCATGGGGATAGACAACGACCAGTAGGTTATTATTCCAAACGATTGTCTATTACTGAGAGGGCTATGGTGGCATGTCTAAGAGCTGTAGCAGCCGCTACCGAAGCAGTCTTAGCCACCGCTGACATTGTTGCTATGTGCACACTAACTGTTCATGTTCCACATGCTGTCCATTCTCTAATCCTTCAAGCTAAAACAGCTCACTTGACACCAGCACGGATATTACATTGGCAGAATGTTTTACTAACCATGGCGCATGTCACTCTAAAGCGCTGTACTGTCCTTAACCCTTCAACCTTACTCCCTACAGCTGATGATGGAGAACCACATGCATGTCTGGAGGTGGTGGACACAGTATCACAACCAAGAGATGCGCTTTTCGACACTCCACTTCCTAACTCTGATTCTGTTTTCTTTGTAGATGGTTCTGGCATGAGGCATCCATCAAATGGATTACCAAGTGTGTCCTATGCTGTGTGTAATGAACATGCAATTGTTGAAAGTGCCAGACTGCCTAACAACCTCTCTGCACAGGCAGCTGAATTATTTGCATTAACCCGTGCTTTTATTTTAGGTGCAGGACAGAACATCACAGTGTATACTGACTCCCAGTATGCATTCAATGTGTGCCATAATTTCCATACTTTGTGGAAAAATCGAGGGTTTCTTACTTCAACAGGAAAGCCTATTGCCCATCGCACTCTCATCATTAACTTGTTGTCTGCATTGCTACTGCCTGTCTCTGTTGCAGTATGCAAATGCCAGGCACACACAGGAGCGACTGATCCGGTGGCACAGGGAAATGCGTCTGCTGATGAAGCAGCAAAGGCTGCTGCTCTTTCGCCTGTCTCCCCTATTTTGCAAATGCCCCTTTCTGTCCAGGATGATGTTTTTTCCCTTAATGATGTCTCTTTGCTTCAAGCAGGAGCTGACGCTGGGGAGAACGCCCTCTGGAAAAGGAAAGGGTGCACTAAACTCATGTCCGGAGTATGGGTAAACCCCAATGGGTTCCCAGTACTGCCGAAGTCTATATTCCCTTTCTTGGCGAAATTGACCCATGGGCCAGATCATGTGTCAAAAGGGGGGATGTTAGATATTGTAAATAAATTTTGGTATGCACCAGGGTTTTCTACTTTTGCTGAAAACTTTTGTAAAAAATGTGTTATTTGTGCTACGAACAATGTAGGAAGAGGAATTTCACTACCTCTATCAGCCCATCCTAAACCTGAAGGACCATTTGAACACATGATGATGGACTTTATTGAGCTCACTCCATGCAGGGGATATAAGTATTGCCTTGTAATAGTGGATATGTTTTCAAAGTGGATTGAATGTTTCCCATGTAGACAGGCAACTGCTGTCTCAGTAGCAAAGGCGTTGCTGAGGGAAATAATTCCAAGGTGGGGACTTCCATCAAAACTAAGTAGTGATAATGGTCCTCATTTTGTGAATCGTATCATTCAAAGTTTATCAGAAAGCATCCAGGTGAACCTCAAAACACACTGTGCTTACCATCCAGCTAGTGGAGGTGCAGTGGAAAGGGCTAATCAGACCATAAAAACAAAGTTAACCAAGTTAATGGCTGAAACGAAGTTGTCATGGGTTGAGGTACTGCCTTTAGCCTTAATGTTTATGAGAGGCCGCCCACACAAGACAACTGGCCTATCACCACATGAGGTAATCACTGGCCGTCCCATGAGAATGACTAACACTCCTTTCCCTCAAAATAGGTTAACTCTGACTGGGATGGATGACGAAATGGTAACATACTGTTGTGCACTTAACCATGTTCTTAAGCTTATCTTTCCTAAGGTAAAAGCTGCCCTCCCTGATTCTGCATCTGACCAACTGCACAACATCCAGCCAGGAGACTGGGTAGTGGTCAAGGATCTGAGGAGGAAACACTGGCATCAACCCCGGTGGAGAGGACCATATCAAGTGCTGTTGACAACACCAACCGCTGTCCGGATAGCTGAGAGGGACACGTGGATCCATGCATCCCAGTGCAAAATTTTCCCTGATAAGGAGACAACCTCCCGTTTGGGAAATGATTAGAGTTGTGGCTAAAATTCTCACCATGAGCGTGATGGCTGTTGCTTGGTCATCATTCCAGCAACAAGATGAGAGCTGGCAACAAATGGGGTCCAAAAGGTCCCATAAATCAACAACTATACAGGACTCAGAGGGTATAAGTGGCATTGGCATGTCACCTACGCAGGATCAGGAGATCCCAGAAGAAGATGACATCCTCAAGATAAAACAACAGATGTGCACTCACATGTATGCGAGCCCTCCTGTACAGATGGATAGGGGTAATTGGAGGAGGAATTACACCAGTCTATGTGAAAATACCTTTGGAACAAAGTAATGATAATGAAGAATGTTGTACCATAGCAGATTGGGCCCCAGGAAATCCATACAGTGAAAGTGATGAAGATGAAGTATTGGTATAGTCAGAGTGATATAATGTGTTTTTGATTTTTCTTTTTGTTTCTTTTGTATTGTTCGAGGTTAAAAGAATGTTTCATATTAACTTGTAATTTTTAATCATTAGTAATCTTGTTAAAATGTTTAAAGGAAATGTTGTGTCTAGTTGACACGTTGTGTCAAAAGGAGGGAATGTGGGAGAGAAACAGGATTTGGGGGTAATAAAATAGATGTGCCCCTGGTCAAAAGGTTGAGTTTATGATAGGAAGAGCCAGGGGGAAGTCACAGATCAAAAGACCATTTGGTGAGAGAGACCTGGATTTACATGAGTAACATTTGCAAGACAAACAGGGGGTTTCATTGTTTGTGATGTAATGAGATGCACTGAAATGTATATAAGGGAGAGCATTTTGGAAGTCGAGAGAGAACATCCATGACGTGACCTTCTCTCCATGCAGCATGAAGTAAAGTGACTTGATTATCACACCGGCTTGAAAGTTCTTCAGAGACTTAGCACCTCTCAACTTTGGGAAGAATTTCCACGACATCTACCTTCTGGAACATTTCAGTGGTGTAATGGCTTCCTCCGTTCTTCTCTGTTGTATCTCTGATCTTGTTGAGCAGCTCTCTGACCTGAGAATGATCCTCCAGGTTGTTATTGAAGACGTGGTACTGGCCGTTACATTTGGCCACAAGTTCCTTCAGGTCTTTGCTTTTCGCCAAGAACTCCTCAATCGGTTTCCCTTTGAGCAGGTCACCATGGGTAAAGAGAACCATGCTGTATTTGTCTGCTTCCTCTCCAAAGAGATCTTAAATCTTCTGCACAGTCTTCTTCTCTTCCTCTGTGTATCTGCCTGATTTGATGATGACCAGATGTGGGGTCCAGGAGAAGCATAAGAAATGCTCTAGACAATATCTAGAGTAGTTTTCTTTTTTCAATGCCGGTGTCGATCACACACATTTATATTGATATTTCAGGAATGCCTGTCATGAATTAAAGATGGGAGTTGTATGGTTTTGGAGAGCTGGATGTCTGTGTGCTTACACAAAAGTTCAACTCTTTAAGCCTTAATAGTTCCTTTAAAAAATCTTCACAGAAAAATGCCACCTTCGCAAAAACTGCTGATAAAATCTAATAAATCAATATTTCTTTTTCTTCTTTTAGAACTACTTCAGCTTGAAATATACATATCAAATATTTATTATATTTTGGGTATTTTAACCCTTTAAAGGCCAATATGTTTACACATCTTCGCTGTTGTGGAAAGTCTTTGAGTTAGTTTGAGACCAAATTATTTTTCCATTTTTTTAAGGTCATCAATTTCATCTCAGATGAGTCTTCTGATGAGTCAGGGCTAGACACCAGATTGTCTGTCTCTACCTCTGAGGAGACATCTTCGCTCTCAGAGCCCATGATATTTCAAGCGCCTCCTGTGTTCTGTAATGCCTTGCCATCTCCTAAATGACTACTCCCTCACTATTGCTCATACTTATAACCATGACTGCAGTGCACCTGCATCAACAGCCTGAACGAGAACCAAAACAAAGTCACATTTGGTTTGGTTCTCGCCACTCATAGTTTTTATTATTGAATTAGCTTATAATGCAGATTTTGGCATTCTAAGAGAAAAGACTTGTGAAGTTGGACACACACACACACACACACACACACACACACACACACACACACACACATACACACAAACATCACATCATCATCAATACATACATATTTCAGTAGCGAGACACCCTTACAGAAAACAGTGAAAAGTGTGAAATTTTTCTGCATGCTTTGAATGGGAAAAAGTAATGCCATGTGGTGGACTAACATAAAAATAAAAAATGTAAAGCTTGTGGACCAAAATGAAATCTTAACATAAAGGAATGCATCAGTTTATGTTAAAATAAACATGGGATTAAAAATGGCGTTTTGAATGGTTTTCAATGGGGCATTTTTCTGCCGTAGGAACAAATGTGTGAGTTTGTGCGTAGCCTAGCCATTTTAGGCTAATTTAAGGAACTAAGACCAGAATTCTAAACACAATGCAAAATGAATAACCTTTGACAAGTTTGAGCTTCATTCATTGAACACAGCAAAAATAGCATGAAAATAAAACAAATGGAATGGTAGAAAAATGTACCTGGGATTTTAAGGGTTAAAGGGGGAAGTGCTTTAGTGGAAGAACAGAATATTTTTTAAATCTCCAGCATGTTTTGCGAGCTTGGGAGATGCACTGTCACTCACTGAACTGAGTTATATGAATTAAAATAGACGTTATTACTAGATTTATGAAAATCTGCATTTTGTGGGTTAAAAATCACAACGTGCACTCTACTGTTATCACCCTGTGCTTCTTAAGGCAAATGCTGAAAGATAGTTGACTGCTCAACAGCTTGCTGTTAGCACTACTGTGGTCAGTCTGTTAATCACTCCGGTCGTGTCGAGTCCACGTCCCCTAAAGTCACTGTCCTCTGCAGGTCTTAAATGCATTTTTTAAATTTGCTGAGAGGGAGGGACTAGCAGGATTGATGGGTTTAGTTACACTTTAAAGATAAAGTAAGAATAAAGTAGGCTGAAGATCCAATATAAATAAGTGTTGTTGCAGACAGACTTTAATTCTTAAGCTCAGCATCAGACCAGCTCTTTCTCCCAAGTAATATACCAAATACAATAAGTCAAGAAACTCTATTCATAATGTTGCTTACATCTTGCATATAAATAGACGGACAGCCTAATGAACAAATCTCAACAGTTGTAAATTGGCAGTAACAGTATATTTGTCAGATTTCAAGTATTTTTTTGAGCTTGAAAGAAAACTCTGTCTGCATTATACAGAGAAGTCTTTCTGTTATTCAGCCCAGTATTTCTCAAATGAGTGAACACTTACCCCTAGGGGGACTTTGGAGTACTGCAGGGGGTATGTGATATTTTCAAAAAATTTTAATTAAGGAAAGTCTTTTTATTGTCATATTCACAGTATACACACTTTTTACATACATGAAATGAAACTTGGCCTCTGCATTTAACCCAGTGGGAGGACTAAGCGCCCGGGGAGCAGTTAGGGGTTAGGTGCCCTGCTCAAGGGCACCTCGGCAGAGCACAGGAGGTGAAAACTGGCAACTCTCCAGCTACTAGCCCACACTCCATACAGTGGGTCTGTGGGGCTTGAACGGTTCCCAAGCCAAGTCCCTACCCACTGAGCTACAAAACATCAGACATGCATAATTTCTTAAATAATCATAGTACAATTATTACTAAGTTCAGTTAAAAAGTTTAAATATCAATTCCATAAACCTCATCATTCAATATTCCTCTTTCCAATGCAATCGTTAACTGACGAAAAGAGTTATTGTTGTTACTGAGAATGTGTGAAAGTGAAAGACAACCCCATGTTTTTTACCAAATTGTAAGGACAACTTATAAAACAGGTTCAATGCAACTACAATACTGTCTCAGTGTTATTGTATTATGGCAAAGACACAGATTCTAAACATTTGAAATGAAATAGAGAGCAAAGTAATAGAAACTGTAATACAGTTAAACAGCACCACAAACCAAGATGACATGCAATCAGATCAACAGATCTGAAACAGTTTCTGCACAAACTTTATAACCTTTGTGAAAGGAGGATTCATCTCAGGACTGTTGCATTAGACTGCATTAGTTTTGATAATGTTGGTGTACCTAATAAACTGGCCACTGAATGTAATTTCTAAGCTTCTGTTCGAGGTGTTCCATAAGCATGAGTACATTATTCTTTTCAAGATGGAAGTGTTATTTCATGTTTATCAATTAAACCCAATTTACATACTTCGTTAAGCAAGTTGGAAGATGCAAAACCCAAAAGAGGAGAACCCTTTGGGTTAGAGTTAAGGACCTATCTAAATATCTCAAAGTCACTCCAGTTTCAACTTCTGTCTCAGTAAATTGGCAAAAATTGTGCTCATAGAAGGCTTATGATCTATTCAATTCAATTTTATATGTATAGCGCCAATTCATAACAGAAGTTATCTCAGGACACTTTTCAAATAGAGCAGGTCTAGACCGAACTCTTTAAAACATTATTTACAGAGACCCAACAGTACCACCATGAGCAAGACCTTGGAGACAAGGGCAAGGAAAAACTGCCTGTTAAAAGGCAGAAACCTAGGACAGATCATTCGGCTCCAGGTAGGTGGTCGTCTGGGCCTGAACAACCATCATGCATTGGGAACACAGTGGACTGAAATTGTTTTATAAAAACAATTTTTACTAGTTTGAGTTTCAGGCCATCTGATTCGTAGACAGACAGACAGACAGACACATTGTGGCTCTTTTTTAGGAAAGCAGAGGTTTTATTTGATCTTTAAGACTATAACTAACATGCATATAAATATGTGATCAATCCCATTAGTATTGATGATTAAATGTATAACACAATACAAGAGAAGAACAAACGTTAAATTAAACCTCTCCAACCTGGATAAACGGTAGCTAACGTTAGCTGTCGGCTGAAACAAGGCTGAAGCTTTTCTTTCTGTTTCCAACCTCAACTTTAATAAAGTTTAACGTCGGTTAGCACAGCAGCTAATCTAAAGCTCATGTTCCTGTAAACATTTACTAATAAAAGCTCCAAGCTGCGACAGTAAACAACTACAGCTGTTGACAGTGTTTACTTACTGATTCAGTGAGCTGACTCTTCCGGAAAATAAGTTTAGAAAAAGAATAAAACTAATTGAAGCAACATTGTGTTATAACTAAAATGAAATAACTGGAAATGTCTATTTTTAGCACAAGCGTGAGAATGAATACGGTTTACTGAGACTAGGTTTTCTACGACTGTGAGTCAGTGGCTTTCTGTTTATAGCAAACCCTCTGAGAACTATAATTAAAATGAAATAAGAATATGAAATATCTGATAATGATTCCTGTAAACTCCCTCTCAGTGACACAGTCCAGGGAAACACGATTCCTTATCTAAAAGACTAGAGACACAAACTTCAGTCTCGTATCAGCTTAATGTTACTATTACAGTTATTCCAGTGGAGGGTGC